GGAAAGAGGCTGCTTTGGTGTTGGTAATAGGATTAAGCAAAGGACTCCCAGGGACAGGCTTATATGTTCACTTGGTTGGTTGTCAAAACTTTCTCAAACACAGAAACTGCAACAAGCATAATAGCATCTTTTGACATGTTCAGGAGGGCAACTTAATTGAAAATATAGACTTTATTTGTTTTATCATACAACACAAAACCAACTGAAACCAAGTAAAATCTAAAAAATGCCTTCTCTTACATCTCTCTATAACAATAAAAAAAATCCCCAGAAATAAATATTTCATATTTACAAGCTAAATATTCAGTGCATGACGAACCATACATGTTTTATAGGAAACAAGCAAAGCAAAGTGATAATGCTCTGTTTTCTGTTTCTAGTAAGAGTCAGTTTTGTGTCAGCTACGTTACACCAAAGTAGAAAAAAGGCATAAGATCAAAACATCTCTCCTGACTTGACACTAATGATAGCATATTTTCCTGTCACTAACAGGTGCATAAACCATTCAATAAACTTACAAGTGACAAGATTATAAATATATTCATAGATTAATATTTACAATATTTTGGTTCTCTTAGCTAATATACAGTATGATTTCTTCTGCAGAAGAAGCTGTATTCTTCAAGATAAAACGTTTTAACCGACTTCATCTTAAGTACTACGCCATTTACCTATTTTACACTTGGACCAGTTTATTACATGTAAGTATTAACAAATAATTTGGTGTTTTTTGTTTTGTTACTTCAGTATACATTTGTCATTAGTTTTCATTTTGCAAGCATGGTGAGATTTTATTTATCTTTTAATACTGACCTCTCAGGTTTACCAGATAAACCATATAACGATCTTCAGCCTATTGATGGTGCATTCAAATTACTTTGCCTCAGTATGATTTGTTCAGTCAGTTTCTGTTTTCCTTGGCGAGCACTGGTCCAAGCCATGTAACATCAGGACCATCCTGTGGTAAGTCAGAGTGGCAAGTCAGGGTAGAGGTGTATTCAACACCAAAGAAATCTAAATAAAAAGGGCAAATGTGGTGAGGAAATCAAAAGCGGTTGGGCTGCATCCAGGGCATAAGTACACAAGTTGGGGACAGACAGCCCATCCCCAGAGATAAACTTCACACAGCTCCATGTGAAATGAGTCAAACTTCAGCAAAGTAGAACGAAACAGATTTTTTTTTTTTTATAAATAACTTCCCTCTAGTTAGAGGTCTTCACCAGTTTATGAGAGAACATTAGTGGCTCTCTGGCCACAGAACATCTGTGAAACATTGAGACCATTTTCTGCCCCCAGTGGGGGAGAAGAAGGTTCTCATAGTACCCGGTGTGATTGACTCATCACCACATCATGTTGTCCCTTTACTTCTATTTCTATTTATCCAGAGTGTAAACACTTGAGGGATGTGGATGATTTCCATTCTACATGGATTGTTGTTGTATTTAAGCATCAAAGGTAAGGGACAAGCACATGTACTCCCTCTATACCCTGTTCATGTATTTGTGCTTTTCTCCATCTCCCACTCTCAAAACACTGATTGATTTTTTTTTTTTTGTGCCAGTTCCCTGTATCAGTTTACCTGGCTTGAATCTTTTCTAGCTTCTATCTAATATCTCAAACCACCTGCTTGCTACTGGCTTTCTCAGCCAAGTACCTTATTTGCTAAGAAGTTTTTCTTTGCCTTTTGTATAGACCTAAATATTTACTTGGTTGTCCACCTGTGATCATAGACACTGGTGCAGTGTTCGTGTACTGGTGCAGTTCAAGCAGCTGACATGACAGCACCAGTGGAAGGTGCAATGGCAACGTTCAGTCACGCTCTCTGTCTGGGTCTTAAACCCACGTCCACAGCATAGCAACTCACATCCATCTAGGCCTGGAGAAGAGCTGTTGCATGTCCTCCCAGAAGTTCCCAAAGTGCCAGTTTTGCCATTGTAGGAGCAGAAATTAGGTGATTTCTCAAAATAGACTAGGTCCATGGCAGAGGGGGGTTTGTGAGCTGGGTTTTCAGGCTCCAGGTGTCGGGAGTCGGCTCGGTGAGAGGCGCGGTTGCTTCCTTTGTTGGCATAAACAACTCTGGATGCACCATCAAACCGGTCCTTGAGGAAGTCTCCCACTGTGCGGAAGCTTGGCAGCCGCATCCAACAGGTACGCACAGTGCAGGAGCCCGACATGCCATGGCACTTACACTCTTGACGCATCTCTGATGACACAGTCTGCAGAAAGGAAGACCAGAGGCTAGTGAGGAAATCTTATAGTGTGACGGACACAAATATATTTGAAGCATGCGGGGATTCTGATAACAGAGAAGTATGGCCGGTTTGAGTATCACGTTCTTACCATTCGACCAGCTTCATTATTGTGTAGGTTGGTGAGGTAGCGCAGATCCCTGCCCCGCTCACTGGAGTCCACAAACTCACGGCTGAACATCCGGCCAAAGTCCACATTATCACTGCAACCCCCCCAGTGCCAGTCTGGCCCTCCAGGACCTCGGCGGCGGTAGTCACATGTGCATGACTCAATGGCCCCTTCTGAGCAAGAGCGAGCCACAGCATGGGTCACCCCTGCACTGGTAATGGCAAACACAAATGCTGTCTCTCGGCAACCTGAAGAAACAACATCAAAACTTCCACATCAGAACCTCTTCCAGCCGTCTAACCTTGGGTTTGCCAATTTTTTGCCCAAAATTGTAAAGTATTTAGACACAAAGCCATTTAAATGAGTACAAGAGATCTCATTACATCCTGTCCAAAGTTGTCCAAATATTGCCTGGTGTGAAAGACAAGAAGGGCTCACCACGATTGACGATTTTGCCAAAAATCGCAGGGCTGTGTGTGGTCGGGCAGTTCCAGCGGCGATTGCGGAACTGCCACTTGCACTCTTTTATGGCAGTGTGCAGCCCAGCAGCGATGGCATGCAAGATGCCAGGATTTTGCCGAATCAGACGGCGCTGGCGACGACTCAGTAGGGCCAGGCTTGGGTCCAGGACCAACTGCACATTCTTGGAATTGGTGAGGAGGTTGGAAGAGGAGGCCACATTGACAATACCCCTGGCACAACACAAGGACAAGGGAAATCAGAGTCAAGGATCTGGCATTTTCTACGTGTAGCTCTTTCAGTGACCCTCTAAACACTTAAACTGATCTGTCCTGGCATCTCATGAGTGTTGTGCCTTTAAGATTACAGTTTTCATTATGTACTACAATAATAAACAGTGACACACACTGTTCCAAGATCATGCGGAGACAGCAAGTCTCTGAGTCAAAGTGCAGGTTTGTGGCCTGGAAAATAACATGAAACTATTGATTTCTTCAAATCACTTGGTTCTGATATGGCTTAATATTACCTAGCAGTTTAATCATAACAATGTATAACCATATTCTTCTTCAGAATATTCAGCATCAGTAATGCACTCATCAGGATAAAGACAGTATCCCGCAGTGAGATGCAGTCGCTGAGTGTGCTTCACCACTTTGCATCTGCGTTGTCTCTTTTCTGCCAAGGTTCTCTCCAAAAGCTGAGAAGTGAGATACATTCTTCTAGACATTAGAGTGGCTTTGTGAGAGCATGAAGGTCCACTCCCACCTAAAAATGTGTCCATTCTGTCAAAATGTGGGGCACAGGGTTTTTCAGTCCTGTCATTGTAAAATCCTTTGTGCCAAAAAACAAAACAAAACAAAACTGCTGATCTTTAGACGTATACTTAATGGGTGATCAATTCTTATGTCAGTAATTCAGTATGTGTTCTGCCACGTGTCAGAAAATATTCTAGTATTAAGGTTTGTAATTTGTGTCCAAATGTGGCACCTGTGCTTTTTCAGTTTCATACAAATTTTGGATTAGGGAGCATCACTTAAATGCACTCATCCTAGTGGTCACATTTTGTATCATTAGTGGTAATGTAGACCGTATAATTTTCCACTTGATCTACTGGCAATTTCTGTTACATTTCTGTCAACATTTTTTGATTCATATAGTGTAGTGGCTGTGTCTGCTGTTAAACATTATTATTTGGAAGAGCGAGTCTTGGCCCGGATTACAGGGCTGCCCCAGACGAGTCCTGTGAACATTAATAACAGCCTCGTCTTTTGGATGTTGTCTTCATTCCCTAACTCCGCGGTGTCTTTTCTTTAGTTGTTTTCTTGGATTTCCACTGACATTTTTAAATATTTGAAAACGCACTCGCGTTGTGTTCATATACTGGCCATCTAATGGCACCGCAGAAATGTTTTGTTAAGTCATTACCTCTACAAACTGAACCCACAGTTTATGGATTTTTAAACAAGCAAGACCATATTCCCACTGACACAAAACTATGCAGATCCAGTTTTATTTTTGTTTTGTACTGCAAAATATTGTGCAAATGGCCGTTTTTAGTTTTAGGCCGCTGTATAGAAAGGAATGTACAATGTTAGATCAATACGGCCCTGGATAAAAACCCCGTGTAGAATTTCTTTCAGCTGAAATAAATCCATATTTAGTTAGTCTCACGTTGGACTATATGGGAAAGGTTGTGTTCAAACCACACTGTCCAAACAACAGGGAGACGGAGGGGGAAAGGAAATTAAATCTACCGCAAATAAAAGAAAAATTACTACAAATCATAGGCTAATCTTGGATTGTTGAATAGATAGTGTGCTGTAATAATGTCACTGAAATGGTAATAAATTAAATTTTTAAAAAAGTTTTGTAGTTTATAGTAGCAGTTTGGAAACGATAGCTAAAATCCCACATCAGACTCCAGGGTTGCTCAGCAGAAGCTGTGGCCGGTGCCAAAACTAACACGTTATATTTTGAGCATGCGGCACGGAATGCGGGATCCCAGGAAAACGCACCGCACCGCGAAGGGTCTTCCCCGCTCAAACGTGACGCTTAACGGAATGAGTGGGTCGTGACATACAGCGGTGAACTCACCACCACCGGCCGCTGTTGTTCACCGCCCCGGTGCCTGAGAGCGAAGACACCAGCAGGATGCAAGCGGCTTTCACCCCTAAGAGCAGCGCCAGACTCCTCATCGTGCCTTCAGGTGAAATGTAGAGGGAAATATCAAAATGTAAGCTTTTATTTTGTCGTGGGTTTTGCTCAGAGTTATGGTCTAGTTCTAAATATCTTTGACAGTTATGCATTAGACCACTCCAGCACAAATATGCACATGTTAATAAAAAAAAAGCCTTAAAGTAAACAATCAACTCAAAATAAGAAAAAATTGCCAAAGCCTGGCAGTGCGTGTTTTTCTACATCTTAGTTGCTTAACAGAATATTGGTAATCATTGTTTCTTCAGTACATTCTAAGTGACCAGGCTGCAAGATATATACTCACCACGCCAAAGTCCAGTGAGGGGGTTTGAAAGGTGAGAGAAGCAGGCAGCCCTAATAGACTCAAATGGATCTTGAGTGGAGACAGGTTGCTAAATGATGTGAAGTGTCCAGGCAGGATGCTACTGCTGCGGCTGCTGCTGCTGCTGCTGCTGCACTCCTCTTCACTCTGTCGCTCTCAGTGATGCTCTGCACGGCGCATTGAACGCGTGGGACAGTCCCGAAGACTTGATACCCTCGGTGACTGATAGGCAACACATTCTTCTCTTATTGAGCGCTACGAGGGGAATAAAAAAGGGATTTGCTGCTCTCATCTCCCTCAGTTTTTTTTTTCAGAGCCTATTCAATAGGATTGGAGGGAGGGATAGTTAATGCTCTTCATAGGGCGCACAATGAATAAGGAAACACAACTGGGTAGAAAGGAGAAAGGAAGAGGAAAAAATAGGGCAATCCACAGTGCTGAGCATATTACTTGTGGAATCTCACGGTCGTCACAGAATCGATGCCCTGTAAATGTGTGCAGCTATGAGTGTTTTCCCACTGGCCGTGCTCCTGCTCCCACATCGAGTCTTGCAGAAAAGAGAAGTGCCCCTGAAGCAGTGATGTGTTGGTACAGATGCTGTGGGTGCGCCCGGGTTGGTGCTCCGCCGCTGTTCAAAGCTGGTGTCACGGTGCAATACAGTTACAGCAGAATATGAGCCACCGAAAACTGCCCTTTTTACCCGGTGGTTGGATTAGTCTACTCCCTAACCGCATCTCCTCCTCCTCCTTTCTGCAAACGCGCTCTTAAAATGTGCAGTGACTGTACATTTCATTTCCTTTCTACACAATTTATTGTGCAGAAAGTAGACACTCATTTTACATATTTACATCTATTCGGTTTACAATATCCTGCTTAAACTTGCACTTTTAGAGCACTTCAGTATATTTGGATACAAATTCAGATTAGGCCCAATAAACAAAACGTTTATCACCAGGCTTTATGAGCCCAAGACGCGCACGCACAACGAAGCTTGAACAGAGAATAATCTAAGCTCTTCCTGTAACTCGCACTGCCAGGACTGTCTAAGTATTTTTTTTTCGACTGCGGGAGAGATGAACTACAGTCTACAATCAGAAGTTTGATATATGATGAACCAGGAAAGAGGGGGACGAGTGAGAATAAAAACCATTCCAAACATCTGGTCTGCAGACCTCCCTCGACGCACATGTAGCCCAGTGTAATCACAGCTTGAGCCACTTTGCGGCATCTCCATCCAGCCCCAGACTAGGAGCAAGTTTCAGTGTCCCCACACTTCTCCATATTGGGTGAATGTTTCATGGTGTGACATTTATCTGCTAATTTGCATGTTCCACATTAGTCACTGGAGCGGTTGTAGGTTGGATAATCTCCCTCTGTCTCTCTTTCCTTCAGATGACAGTAAAAGGAAATGGGCTTTTGTAAAAAGGCTTTAATGACAGCCATGCTACGTTTATACTCCAGCTTTATATGAAGGTGCTCAAACGGGTTTCCTGGAGCAGTCATGCGACACCGAGCAGATTAGGGCTTCAATCCGGATAAAGGGGGCCTTTTATATACAAATCAACTTCAAATCACTTTTAAGCCACTTAGATATACACCCCAACTCAGAATGCTAATGCACTTTTCATTGCGGCAGCTTATGGAATAGAGCAGAATTGGTGTCACGATGAGAACCGTGTTGGGGGGGTTAACTTAATTTTATGGAAGTAGCCCACTGCCTTCTCTGCCCCAGCATCATGTCTGTTTAAATTCTGCTCGAGAAAACGGTTTTTATTTGTGGGTTAATTAGCAAACTGTGCGGTAACAGCGTTTGTTATAATTAATTTGAAAATCCAAGATCAATATGCTGATTGAGTCGATGCCGAGCCGCCACACCTCCCTAACTGTGTCCGCACAGAAGGATTGGGCACCTGCGTTCATAGGCCTACTAGAGATGAAAACCCGAGTTTGGATATATAGTTGTGATGACAGTCTTCAGTGTGCCCAGTTTCCTATACGCACCACAAATACATTTAAATGAATGCACAGTTGTCATACGCACTTAGATATTTGTTGGAGAATGTGATGAATAATCAAAAAAACTGTCACTCTTCTAATTTATGCAGAATGTTTTACTCTGAAATAAAGACTTTGGAGTGACGAAGTGAAGTTTTTTTTCTCAAACACAACAATGAGGAACAGCCGCTCTGATGGGGGTGGGAGGAAGGGAGGACTACATGACTAAAAACAGTATTGTTGGAGGGTCTGTAAGCGGTGCCGCCTGCCTGCTGCTGCCTCCCTGTCATACAGTGGAAACAGCAACTCTCCCCTCCCCCTATCCATCATTTCACACCCCTTTTATGAACAAAATCATCTTTAACTTTGCGTATGAGCTTTTTTTGTTTTGGTTTTTCTCCAAAATGGAAGCTTATGCTACACAACCGACTGTCCCACCAATAAGAAGAATGAATAAAGATTAATATTTATGCGTCCCATTAAATGTGTTTATAGTACTCAGTATCTTTGATTACCTACAAAAACCTGAAACCGTTGCTTTAAAAGTGGGGCCTCTGCGTAAAAGTTTGGAGTCCTCATTTTACGCTTGGACGAACGATCGCATTCTCAAATAATAAAATGATCAA